ATCCCCCCAAAACTGCCATGGCCACCCAGAAAGCCAAAAGGCAGCGCGTGAGCACAGCTGGACGGAGGGGAGGCTCCGGGGGACACTTACGTATCTGTCCCAGTCGATCTCCGCGTAAAATCCATTCGGGGCTCCGTTCGTTTTCTTCTGCAACACATCGGAAAACAAGATTTCCACGTTTTAAACCAAGGAAAGGAGACCACGGCATGTCTTATACGTGCACACTGACATGGCTGGGATGCTGCTGGGTATCGCAACAGGGACGTGGCCCCCCCCCCCCCCCCCCGCCTGCCCACGGAGAGCTGCTCTGCGCATCCACATCAGCCGTACAGTAACCCCCATTTTTGGAAGGTCTTCCACACCAGAGAGCTAAAAGGTCGTGGGTTTGGACATTCGTTAACCAGACATCTAACGTTCCTTAAGGAGGAGAAACGAAACGGCCGTTTCTCCGCGCGCCGGGGCGTTCCAGCACATCGAGCACAGGTTGCACCGATATTTATCGGGAGATAAACACCTTCCCCGGGACACGCTGAAAGGCAGGGTCGCTTTCTGTTATTCAGTAGCCAAATTGCTTGCAGAGCAAGCCGGGTGTTAGTGCTTCGCCCCGCCACGAAGCCGGGGTGCAGGGGTGAGGGGCGTCCCGGCTAACCCAGCTGGGATGTGGCGTTAGCGCACGTCACGACACACCGACAACACACACAGGTTATTGCTGCTTCGGATCAAGTTGGGTCTGGTTTGGAAAGAGGCTTTGGGCATCCACCACCTCTGGGAGCCTTTGCCCTGGGACCCTGCTCTGGGCATCCCAAAAAACGCCCAAAGCTCCCGCAGCCAGCGAGCGGTTGCTGCAAAGCTGGCTCGGAGACTGGAGTTAGGCTGGGTTCTCAATTTTGGGCACCTAAATTAGATAATCCAGTTGCCTTCAGCTGCCAGAGGTAGCACCCCCCTCCCCGCCCCCCCCCCCCCAGCACCTTTGCCAAGGGTCTAACGCCCTGTCCCAGGGAGGCAGCAGCAAGAGGCTGGATCAGACCACCAGCACCCTCGTCCTCCCCGTTTCACCCAACAATCCTCATGATTCTGCCCAAGGACGGAGCAGCCTCGTTCGAGGTACGAGAGTGAAAAGCCAGACTCCAGATGCAATTATGTGGGGCTTCTGCTTCTCCCCCAGCCCACCTGTATTCAACCCCATTCCTATTCCACTCTTATACATCCACCTGACTGAACCTAAATGGTATTTTCCTATATTTCAAAACGGAAATTACTCACTGTTTGCAACAACCCTTTCGTAGCTGTAAACCGAGCTCTTTTTTCCTTACCGAATTTTTTTTTCCTCCTTCACGCACACTCTCGGGTTTGCTATTGCAAGGTGGCTCATTGGGATGAGGGCTGGGCGGCTGGAAGGGATTGGGGGTTGGCAGAAAAACGGTTAAAGTATCGGGTGGTTGGCTGTTGGTTTATATATATATATTTTTTTTTTTTTTTAAAAAAAAAAACAACACACGAAAGTAAGTTACAAGGAATTAGCAGAACACAGTGCACAGTTTTATAAGAAAAGGAGGGCTCAGCTGTGGCTCCTTTAGGAGTAAGCGTGGTTTTTACCGGGGGCAGGTAAGGGGGCTCTATTCAGCAGTCAGAGGATTTGCCTCTTGGCCACTCCACTTGCTGCCAATGTGATGGGGAGAACACGTTGTAGGAGGAAAAGTTATACTAAACATCTCCATCTTCCAATACATTCAGTAGCTTTGTTCTAATCTCCCTTAAAAAAAAAAAAAAAAAATTTGAATTCCTGCATCCTTCAGCTCGCTGGAGCCCCTGTCCTGCCCTGCACCGAGCTTAAACAGCAAGCCACCTGGAAAATTGAGAATGGGAGCCCGATTGAGAGGGCACCCGAGCTCACCCAAGGCCCCTGCACCCACGCCTGGCAAGAAAAGGCTGCCCACAGCACTTCTGCTGGTGGAGGGAACGGCTCCGGGCTGCTCCTTGCATTTTATTTATTTACTACTGCTGAATAGAGCCGTGGTTAAAGCACTCTGAGCTGCAGACTCTTTTTTTAATCACTATTTCTTAACAGCTGATAGCAAGTGGCTTTCAAACACAGGGCAAGCCCAAAGCCAAGGATCCTGGGTCAGATGGGGGGGGGGGGGGGGGGGGAGAAAAAAGTGATCTCTCTAAATTTGGCACCCCAGTTTTTGTATGGCTTTGTAAAAGACACCCCAGCACCGCTTTCCTGGCCGAGCCCCTCCAGGGTCTAATTTTTATTTTAAGGTGAGCTACTAATGCCTGAATTTGCTCAAAAATTAGCAACCACCACAGTCTCAGTCTGAACCCAACATATTTATTTGCAAAATTGATATCAAGTGGCTAAAGGAGACACGGTCTGTCTACTACCCAGGTCTAGCAGGGGGATTTCTATCCAACACCATGAATAAAAGCAGCAATAATTAAAAAAAAAAAAAAAAGTATGTCCTTATTTTCAGTTTAATATAGAAAATAAAAGTAGATACTGGAAACAGCTGTTCTGGCAATTTTCCCTTAACTCATCGCACAGCAAATCTGACCCAAGCCAATTAGCAGGAGTGGAAACGAGGATGCAGAGCTGGGGGTTTTAGCAGGACACCTGGTCCCTCCGCCCACGGCGCTGGTCCGGCGTTTCTGTACTGTTATTTTCTTTATGTTATTTTTGTAGAAAACCCGGAATATGGCATTATTTTAGAGATAGCTTCTTACTGAAGTTTATTTTTCTATATTAAACTGATGGGAAGAGGCGGTTCACAAAACGCTGATGGAGGAATTAACGCTTAAGGGGCCGTGGCAGGAGAGGGAAGGGGGACCGGGGCCCGTGCAATACTTACGATGCCATCCCTGTCCGGTGACCCCCTGCAAAGAAGAGAAGGAAACGCAGCTGTTTTAGCTCCCGAACGGCACCGTCGCCCCATTAACTTGTGGAAAAGGTTTTCTTAACGAATCCACAGCGGCAATGGGTTTAATTATGAAACGGTCAGCAAATCTGAATTACCTGCCACGTGCTCCTCGTGAAACCCACGTAAAGGACTCGGTGCCATTGCTCTCATTTTAGCAGATGAGAAAGTTTATATTTATTAGTAAATAAAGCGTTCCTGCCCATGATCGTGCTCCCCCCCTCGAGGAGCCAGGCAGGCTCCTCCTTGCACCCTTCCCACGGCCACAGCCCTACCACGGATGAGCATCCTCTTGCAGAAGACAATAAAAATTACATATAGAGCAATTTAGATATTTTTTTAATTATTATTACTATTTCTGCAAGAAGCACAGTCAATTCTCTTTTGAATGGATTTGAAAATTGATGAGACTCCTCAGAGATCTTAATCCTCAACTGCTGGTGGGATTTGGACCTCGGTCACAGCAAACGGCATGGCAGGCTCAGCAGCCGTATTGAAACGCTGCCTAAAGATGCCAAATTATTTAGTGAAAAGACAAATATGTTTATGAAAACCAGACGGGCTCCTCCACCTCCCACATGCTCCCGAGTTTTACGCGTTGCCAGAGATTTGCCACAAATTAATGTCTGACTCAGGGCATCACAGAAACCCTGCAGGCAGCAGCTGCCTGTCCGGCTCTGGTTTAATACCAAATAACACCTTTGAACTTCACTAATTCATGTGCGCCTGCCTCCCATCTCTCTTATCTTGTGTTTAATCTCTCTGCACAAATGTCTCCAAAATTCTCCTGTGCCACCAGCTTCCCCAGCCTCGAGGAAGAGCAGGCTGCTGCAAGCAAGCCTGGAAATCACGGCGCTGGCTAAAGGCAGGACCCAGACCTGGCTCCATTGATTTTTCCATGAGCAGAAGAGGAAGATGCAAAGCAGCTCATTCCCTGCCCACCCTTCTAATAAATTATAAATAAAGCCGCACGCAGCCGGAGCTCCTGGCTGGCTGGTGGATGGACAGCCAACCGTTCCCGGTGACAATCCCCGCCACCCCCTGCAGCAGGACAACAGCTCAGAGCCACGCAGCCCTCTTTTGGGATGTGCTCCATGTCACCCCATCTTTTTGGGCCCCCCCCTCCCTGCCCCCCAGGTGCTGGTGCAGCCGGGTTCGCCGGGGCCCCGGGAGCCTGGCAGCAGCCGTCCCTTCGCGCAGGGAACCTCCCCAGCTGCCCACGGAGAGGCGAAATAAAAACAAATACATAATAATAAAAAAAAAAAAAAATAAAAACTCCATAGGGCTTCTGCTGTGCCAGACATGAAGCACTTCTAATTAATTTAACTCTATTCCAGCCCAAACGGGCTGGACGATGGCAGGGCAGTGGGGTTTTGCCCCGCTCTGTCCCCAGTGCACGCTGCTTTGGGACATTCCCCCCCCCCAAAGCCTCCCCGGGCTGGGCTCAAGCACCCCGCCAGCAGTCCTGCACCCACGGACAGCATCCCCCTAACCAGATGTGGAGGGGAAAACCCTCCCCCCCCAGGTGTTTTCCCAGGAAGCAAAAGCATCTCTGGCAGGAAAGCTGAAGGAGGGTGCGCTCCACGAGCCCCGAGCCTGCCCCAACCCCGCAGCCCTTCGCTCCACGGCCGGCCTCGCTGCCTGCACCGGCATCTGTTTAAATTGAATTTGCATCTTAAAAGAGCTCAGCAGACTGGCAAATCAGTAGTTTGGGCAGAGATTAATCTGCTGAAACTCTCAGAGGAGTAATTTTCTCCTGATCACCGCTAACTGTCACCGTAAATTGCAAACACATGGAGAACTGGCTTTATTATCTCTGCAGTGCCACCAGGAAAATACCTTATTTGCTGGCCACTGGATGTACAAGGGGAAACACCTTAAATGCATTTGCTATTACAAGACTTGATTCAAGGATGACAAATGCCCGTGATGCACCAACTTCCTTCCTGTCCTGGCACATTGGCACCAACTTCTCCCCAGTATTGTTATATATTAATGTGGTTTATATCTCATCGACTTACGTAGAATCAGTATCCTTTTCTTTCTTGCGTATACCAAAGGCCTTCCTTGTACGTTTTTTCAATCCTGCGGATAGAAGGAAGATACATAAGAATGCAATATTGATACTGCGCTTCAAATAAATCACCCAAAAGGTTCCTTATACCATTGTCAGCTGTAATTCATAAATAAGGTTCAAAAAGAAAGAGCCAGACGCACAAGACTGCCAGCAGGACTTTGCAGGTAGTGTGTACATTCGTTTATGCCTCCCATTTGTTCCCTTAACACTTAATTAACTTGCTCTCTGTGTGCGTGACTACAAATTTTGCAGTTAACATTTCTAAGCTCGCTATCTTAATTACAGATTTCTTTGCAATGCTGCATGCGGGTGTTAATGCCCAGTGGGGAAACCCCCTCTTTGGTGTAAAAAAAAAGTGGTTTAAGCCACGAGGTTGGTTATCTTCCACATTGATTCTTGACCCTCACAGTGCTTAAAAAGATGCCTGGCACCAACGATGCTGGAGCCGGCCGGGAAGCGGGGTGCCCAGGGAGCCCCACCAGCCCCGGAGCCCATGGGGGCAGCAGTTGCCCCCCCCTTTTCCCAGCCAAGGAGGGGTTTTGGAGCGTTTTAAGCCACCACGTTCCGCGTGGCTGGCTGGTTTTCACACGGAGGATTTTCTGCTGGCAGCGGTGGCCGGCCAGCCCCACCGCTGAGACCCGGCTGCGGCTGGACGCCGCGGACACGCTCATCGTGCCATCACAGCTGGTGGCGTGATAGCAATTAACTGAAGTCACGGCATAATTTAGAGACCCTGGCGGCCGAAAAGGAGCCAATATAAATCAGTCTAGAGTCTAGTCATTGAGTCTAGAGCAGCTACTTCTATAGCTACAACCACAGTAAGGCCCTGCTCGGCTTGGGGGTGTCCCCAAAACATCCCGGGGAGCAGAGTCAAGCCATCACCTGGCGAACAGGAGGGGAGGACAGGCAGGTCCTGGCAGCTTGCTGGGTGCTGAGCCAGTTCTGCAGGGAGCTGGGCCAAGGAGCGACGGGTGCCGGGTCCAGCGGTGCAGCAAGGGGTGAATTTGCAGGGAAGGGGAAGCAGGCTCGTTAGGAGCCAGTGGAATGAGTTTTGGAGGTGCAGGCAAGGCTCAGCAGCACAAGCCCAGGTTGCCACGACTGGGAGACAGCTCAGGCAACGCGCACCGTGCCAGAAGCACACAGCGATAATTGTGCTAAAAATCTGCTTTCTTAAAAAACACTGTCTAGGATTCAATTTAAAAAAAAAACAAAACAAAACAAAACAAAAACCTCATGCTTCTACCTCAAGTGATGTGCTGAAAAAGCCAAATCTCCTGTAGCTCCCCCAAAATCAGCTCCGGACACCCCAGCAGCACTCGTACTAGGAGCTGTCTGCGCTGGCACAGTTCGTTTGTTTGATGCTCTTGGGGGAGATTGAGTTTCTTTGGTCTGCCTCCTGCTTTAGAACATGCCCTTGAACTGAAATTATTTTCCATTTTCCCAGGAACATCTTACTCTTCTGGGCACTGACTGATGCATGCAGCAAGCACACAAATGCTAGTTTTCTGCAGCACATCGGAAAATGCTGGATTTAAATTAGATTATCAAAACACATGTGGGATGCTTCAGGGTTTTGATACCCTGTGGCCAGGAGGATTTTCAAGCCAGCACTGGGACCAAGCCAGCCAGGGTAGGACCACGAGAGGCTCCAGCAGGTCTCCTTGGTGTTGCTCAGAGAGCTTTGGGTTGGACATTTCCCCCACGAAATGGGAAACAAAAGGAGTGCTCCTGAAAAACCATACCCGGTGCCCTTCCCTCCTCTGCCCAAAGCAAACATTACATGGTCAGGGATGAAGGAATCCCTTATGGGATCCAGACGCCCCCAGCCTATGGGATCCATACACCCCCAGCCTATGGGAGCCATACACCCCCAGCCTATGGGAGCCATACACCCCCAGCCTATGGAATCCATACAGCCCCAGCCTATGGGATCCATACGCCCCCAGCCTATGGGATCCATACAGCCCCAGCCTATGGGAGCCATACGCCCCCAGCCTATGGGAGCCATACGCCCCCAGCCTATGGGGATCCATATGCCCCAGCCTATGGGGATCCATACGCCCCCAGCCTATGGGGATCCATACGCCCCCAGCCTACGGGAGCCATACAGCCCCAGCCTATGGGGAGCCACACACCCCCAGCCTATGGGATCCATACGCCCCCAGCCTATGGGAGCCATACACCCCCAGCCTATGGGATCCATACACCCCCAGCCTATGGGATCCATACACCCCCAGCCTATGGGATCCATACACCCCCAGCCTATGGGGAGCCATACGCCCCCAGGCTCTAAGGGCAGCGCAAGCGGCTGGGAGCGATGCTGAACCCCACAGGCTCATCCTGCAACCTGGCCTGGACAGCTTTGTTTTTACTACATCGCGCCTTTCAGCTTTCCTACAGTTTCTTCACGACGCAGGCGAGTTATTAATAACCGAGGAAGGCTTCCATTAATCTCACCCCTAGAATAAACTTCATCCTCCAAACTCAAAGTAGAACAGAGAGGGCTGAAAACCCCAGAAATGAGTTGTTTAGTCTTATCTGAAGAAGCACCCGGTTTGGCTAAATTTTGTAACGAAGCCTTCTGCTCGGTTATATAATAGGCCCACCATCTGCTTAAAATGGTAATGATTGAAGGGAAAAAGGGATATTTAGGAGAGGCAGAAGAAAAATGAAAGCCTCCTTTGGAGATGATGGTCGAGAGCTGGTGGGAGCGGGTCCCCTGCTGAAGCCCACCACCCACGCCAGGGCCAGGCACTCGCTGTCCCCGACAGTGACACCAGAGATGTCCACAGTTCGGCGCGGGATATGATATTTCCCAGGACAGCTCTCCTTTTGGGTAGCTGCAGCTCGGAGGAGCTCATGTCTCCCTGGACATGGCCAACCCCAGCCCAGAGAGCTGCTGAAAATACCCTGTCTGATGGTGCAGGGACAGAGCTGAGAGCTGTGCATGGAAGGGGACTGCACATGCTGGTCCTCAAGTCTCATTTCAGTTGGCTTTAGGAGCTGAAGCGCTGTAACAATCTGACCTGGTAATATTCACCCTTATAAAAAAAACAATAACAAGGCCTTGTCCACAGAGGGAATGCTACATGAAAACACGATGGGTTCAGGGGAACCTCATAGGACAAGATAGATTTACTGTTGGAAGAGGCAAGGTGATGGTAAGTGGGAGAGAAAGCAGAGAAGAGGCAGTGAGGTGGAAAAAAAAAAAAAAAAAAAGGGACATGAAAGAAGAAAATAGAACATTTCCATGTGGGGCATCAAGCGATGGCTCAGAGCTGGGAGGAGCTGAAATCACCGCTCGGGTGATGCTCTCCGAAGCAACACCTAACATGGAGATGAAATCCCACCTCTCCCCATCAAGGAGCACCAGGTACTGGAGCCAAACCGGTCCCCAGTGGGAAGACCCGGAGAGCTGCATCACCCTGGGATGCCCGTGCTGGGTGACACCAGCACGAAGGGCTGTATGTGTCCCCCGAAGACACAGCCCGCTCCTTCAGCTGTCCCCACTCCCCCCCCCCCCCCCCCAGCACCTCCGGGGGTACCTGGGCAAGACCCCCAGCTTCTCCTCACCCCCCCCAGACCCGTCCCCTTGCAGGTGTCTGCCTGCTTGCTGCCAGGCCTGGGAAGGGTTCCCTACAGCCCTGGGCACCCCACCTCTCCGGGAACACAGCTCCTTTCACCCACAGCAACTCTGCCCAGCAGTGCCATGGCCTTCAGCCGCCAAAATCCCACCAGCCACAGGGCTACCAGGGCTGTCAAAGCTGGGGATGAGGTCCCAGGCCACTCTAAGTTCCAAGGTGATAAAGATGGGTGTGACGTGGTACCCGCCAACGTCGGCACCCGAGGAGAAGGATTTAAACCCCTACAGCTGGCGCCTGCCTAGCCCTCTGCCCATCTATTCACCCCGGGCACCTCCTACCTCACGAGAATTCTAATAATTCTCATAGGAGAAACGTTGGTGCACTCAAGTATACAACATTAAGAGTTACAGAAGTACCTACCTACATTCTCAAAGCCTTCTCTCCTTTTTTTTTTTTCACATCCAGAACACAAGGAGGACCCACCTCCACAGGCTGCCCGGCGCTGGGGGGGGGGGGGGGGGGGCAGGCAGCACATTTCTATTTTAATCTCAGCTTAAAACTGCACCTTGAGGCGGACAAAGGTCAGGGCAAAGCTCGAGCTTTGCTGTTTCACAGCACCAGGGAGAGGGGGGGATGGCACGAGCTCTGCCTTCCCACCGACAGCTACTGCATTCCTCGCTGCTGCTTGAAAGCTTAACAGCTGGGTTTATTCTGCACAGTTATTGCGTGGCTAAAGCAGAGGTGGGCTGTCCCCAGTCTCCAAGCAGGAAAATCTATCTATTACACTCAACAGTGGTTGGGAAAATCTATCTATTACGCTCAGCAGTGGTTTAGTTTATGCCCTTTGAAGGGGCAGGGCAGCACCAGTAAGAGCCCCCGCCACGCCAGGCCAGCATGAGCTGGAAAAAACACCAGCACAAAATACCTCACCCACGCATCCTGCTCGAGGACCAGCGTGCCAGCCTTCGTCCGAAGGCGAGGGGAGACTAAAATGTTTGCGAGTGGATGTATTGGACATCTCTGCTGCCTCCTCCAGCAGGTTGACCTCAAAGAACCTCACGCGCGACAGCCCACCGGCCCTGCGTGCCATTACCCCCGTGGCAGCAAGAATGGCTAAAAACACATCGATGGCCACAAAACCAGTTTGGCCCGCAGAGGCCAAACACAGGGAAGCCACCGGCCCCTCCAAGGTACAACAACTTCATAGGCTGCAATTAGTCTTCGTCAAGCCAAATGGCTTCGAATGCTCTCAACTCAGACTCGGAGCAGCCACAAGCCAAGCTATAACTAAATGCTGTGTGCCAGGGATCTCATTTCCAACACTCTCCGAATCAGGAAGCATTATTCACCTTTTATTTACTACTAGCTTTTTTTTTTTTTTTCCCTGGTATACTTAAGAACTGGCATCTGAGAAATAGGAATTA